ATTTAGCTCAAAAAAAAAAAAAATCCTTTAGAAACTTCCTATCTGTGTTTGTGCATAAAATACATTCAGATATTAAGCATCTAGCTTTATGGAAGTTTCTGAGTTTGAGGCAGGATAACTTCCTGATGACTGAAATGAGTTCATCTCCCTTCTTAAATTCTGTTGATGTTCAAGAAAATTGAATGAGGATGGTATGTGCCTGTGCCTATTTTAAAAAGGAAAAGGAGAACCAGTGGGAAAACCAATGTTTTCCAACATCATTTCTTTATTTTTAAACAAAATCAGAAAATAGCCATAATTAATCTAACACTTTTTCCTGACATTTTTTGACATCAACACATCTTAATACAACTACAACTGTTTTCATAACTTGTACCATCCACTTTGAACTCCTTTTAATAGGGATAATGAGTCTGGATACTTGGCTCACTTTCACAATTTTTCTAACATTTTTAACATTAACATATTTTAATACAACCACTGTTTTCATTACTAGCATTATTCATTCCTATTATTAACCAGGAAAACTTTGAACTCCTTTCTAAGGAGAATAATTCTAGCACTTGGCTGGCTCTCCCTACACTCTCCAATCCTGCTTTGCTGTATACATCTGGGCAGTCCAAAATACCACTTGTAATTTTATGTTTTCTACCTCCCAGCGCTCACAGTATCATATCTAATTTACCAATTAATTTCACCTAGAATCATTAACTTTGTCTTCTGTTAATGTTCTAAACCCTTTATCTCTTAAAAGGACTTTTGATCATTTTTAAGCCTGTGCTGTATCCTATGATATGCTTGAAGCTTTAGGTTTGTTGATAAATTAAGGTGCTCTAGGTATTGAAACATCTTCCTTCAGCCTTCAAAGAGAAACACTTGCTTGGCCAGGCTTAGGGCTTAAGGAAATCATGGCTTTTATCTGAGCTTTGTGTAAATTTTTCTCCCAAGTTCTCATTTACAAATGCTAAGGGTAAGATTTAAGGTCATTCTTAGTTTCACATTTGTAAAATTTTTTATCTCCTTTATCTGCCTTCGTCTCCAGAGTATAAATATATTTTATAAGTAGGTATATGAGGGAAGGAGAGGAGATTTGGGAGATTTTGTTTGTTTTGGTAGTGGTGTTTGTTGGGATTGGTCAAAAGGGCAGCATGGTATCATGGGGAAAACAGGCTATGGAATCTGGCCAATCTGAATTAGAATTCCAGTTTTGCCACCTATTAGCTCTGGAAATGGAGACCCGCTTCATCTTGCTTGGTTTTGTGGCAGATTAGCAGTGTACAAAGCACCTGGTATGTAGCTGGACACCACAGTTAGAAGAATGGGAGCCACTATCTAGCTGTGCGACCTTAGGAAGTCACTTGAGATCTCTGTGCCTCCATGTTTTTACACACAGAAGTGAGACAATAAAAGTGCTCTTATTCACAGAATTGTGGTGAGGTTAAATAAGTTTAATATAGTAGAGTGCTCAGAACTCTGCTTTTCATGTGGTAAGCACTACAGGTGTGTAAGCTATTATTAGTACCACTGTCTTTATTACTATCACTATCACTGTTAGTCATGGCTCTACCCATCCATATCCATGCTGAGAGTGTCAGGAAAATTTCCTAACCTCGCCAAATGCTTTGCACAGAGTAGGTAGTCAGTAAATACCTCCTTGAATAATTCTCATTTCCACGTGGCTTATTTGGCAGGGCAGGGAGGGGGTCTCTATGACCACAATCATTTACACTGTTATTCTTGTTTCTCTAACCGTTGCACCATCAGCAACTTCTACACCTTCAGTATCATAGATCTGCTCATTTTTGGCATGATACTTATTACAAAAGCACATTATACAGCTTTAGCCAATTTTTCAGTATCTTCCTAACATTGCTTTTATCACTATCTTACTCTATTTGATGCTTTACAGGGAATCTATAATTTATTGTGACTACTTGCCCACTACCACGTTAGTTTTAAGAGAAAAAGCCATAGAAAATGTTTAGCACAGGTCCTGGTACATAATAGGAGATATGTATGTATGCATGTATATTTGCTAGTCTCACTATTATCAAATATTTTATATAAATTATCTCATTTAATCTTTAATAAATGGTCCTATGAGGAAATTCCCTATTTCACAGATGAAATAACTGATGTTCAGAAACAAATTGAGAACACAAGTTAGCAAATGAGAGACAGGATTCAGACTATGGTCATTTTATCCCAAAACACTCTTTCCACTACATTTGGGGGGACTTTACCAGTTCTCCTCTTATCTTTTTCATAAAAAGTTTCAGTTTATTCCCACTCCTTTTTAGCATTAAAGTGGGAACATTGCTTTTTTAATTATAAGCATTCTCCCTAAGTTCTATTGAGGTCTCTTCAAATCCACTTCCATTTGGGGTAATATCCTTTAAAGCTGGGCAAGTTTAAGCAAAAGGCATCAGGTTTCCACCTTTCTTACAAACATATTCCATACAACAAGTGGTTTAAAAGCCTTAAGATCAGACATAGATTCAAACACCATCTCTACACAGACTAGCTCATCGGGTCATTGTGTGTTACTCTAATCCTTATAATAACTCTATGAAATTAGTACTTGTATCATCCCCAACTTGTAGCTCAATAGACTAGGGCTGAGAATGGCCCCACAGTTTACTGTATGGCCAGCCATCCAGTTGGGATTTCCCAAGCCAAGACAGTATCAGCTGTGTCTACTGGGGACCCATGCCCATTTAGGGAGGCCTGCCTCATCTTCTCTGAGCCACAGAAGTGATCAATAGACCAGGGATACCTGTGCCCTCTCTGCTCTGCAGCCTTCCTGTCTCAACTCTTGTCCTTCTTGGTTTTGCCAGCTCATAATGGGTTTTGTTCCTTCCTTGAAAGGTTTCCACTTGAGACCGAACTGCCTTATTCGATCTGCTACAGCCATGGAATACTGTTCTACCCTTTTGTTGTTAGGAAGCTCAAGAGAAAACACAGCTGCAGCCACAAATCTGTGTGCTTTTGTTCAATATCAAGCAAGCTCAAGAGAAAACCATCCCTGTATCATTGGTGTAGTACTTTTAAAAGATCTGAAATAATCATGGCCAACTGCTAACATCTATTTAAAGATTTTTTTTATTTATTTATTTGACACAGAGAGAGCAAGAGCAGGAACACAAGCAGGGGGAGTGCAAGAGGGAGAAGCAGGCTTCCCGCTGAGCAGGGAGCCCGATGTGGGACTTGATTCCAGGATGCTGGGATCACAACCTGAGCCAAAGGCAGATGCTTAACGACTGAGCCACCCAGGTGCCCCTGCTAACATCTATTTAATCTGAGTGGTGGGCATACAGGTGTCATTTCCTATACTGTTCTGTAAGTTTGAAATATTTAATAATCAGGTAAAAATAACTAAGTAGAAAAACCTGTATGGTCTCACAAAGGCAAATAAAGTATGGTTTTCCTTATAGAGTTACTACTCACAGAATGAAAACACTTGTTACACACTGGAAAACAAGTAAACACAGCCAAATACTTAAATACTTAAATGCATAATTACCCCACAGCAGATTACTTATTACTGTTTTCCCCAAGGTCTTAAAACATACACATGTCTACTCCTCTGATTTGGGGTTTGATGGTCAAGGCTTTCAAGGGTCATCCTCTATAGTTAAAGGACCAGCTGTAGAATGGACAGAAAGGCATGGGGCCAAGTCTGGTGATGACCAGAGGGGCCAAATAACTAGAAGCTGCACAGAGTGGCAATAATCACCATGAGGAAATTTAGTCTCATTCTTTCAGGCTAAGAAACATGTTCATCAACCTCCTAAGAAGGATTCCTTCTTCAAGGGCAGACTTATGTCAACTAAGTTTACAAGATTAACAAATAAAATCAGAGTTCCAATATATTATTTTATAATGAGAAATCAGTCACAGAGTCAGTGTACTGATTCCTTGTAGGAAAACTTCCATTGAACAACAAATTATAATTACATGATTAGCACAGCATGAGAAAAAGAGGAATTGTTAGCTACCTTTGTTAAATATTTAATAGTACCAAGCTACAATAGCCCAATGCATCCATCACCATATATGGGAAAGACCTGCCAATAAGAACAAAATGCTAAAAATTATCCATTGGGCAAAACTCTGTCATCTGGCTAGTGCCTAAACAGATACTGCCAAAGTCTGCCCTGCCTTCATAGTTATCAAAACCATCTTTGAATTGAAACTTTCTTTCATGAAATGTGCCGGTGTACTCAATTTTATAACAGGTCTTATAAGCCAAATTCTATCAGTTATCTTTCTTAGAGTTTATAAAAGACTCCATGTAGCAACTTAGGTTGCATCATAGAAAGATGAGAAGATCTTTATGAGGGCCCATCGTGTAATTCATGAAGTTGTTCATCAATGTATCCCAAGTTCCTAGAACAGTGCCAGTCACTTAATAGACAATAAATATTTCTAACATAAACGAAGAAAATCCTCGTTAAAAATTTTTTTAAAGTAGTTCAGCATAAACTTAAAGTCAGTACACTGTACATTTTAACTAATCATTCTCACTTCTCACTTGATAAACACAATCATTCAGGACCTGGGAACTTTGTCCTACATATACTTCTCCACATTCAGCCTGAGTTACTTACAGAAAATCTCCCAAAGCCATTTATCACCCATCAGCCAATACCACCACTTCTATCACCAAGAATTACCATAGAGGCCCATGTTTATATTTTCCTACGTATTCTAGTGGCCAAATCAGCACCAAAATGAACTAAGCATCAATTCTTGGGAAAGAAATTTTATGTTCTTCCTATACCAAAGAGCATACCAACCACTCTTACTGCAGGACAAAAGTATGTGTACAAATATTGCTAAAATCTGTATTTATAGAAACATATAGCACCCCTGATACTAAAATGGGCCTAAACAAAGAAAGTTTTTGGTGAAGTCATAAAGTTCTAGAAAGCATGAATTCAACTGTCCTTAAGGTAAAACCCATCCCAGCATGTGTGTACTGTGTATGTTTTACTCACTGCATACTGGAACTTTTCATTATATTCACGGTCATTGGCTTTCACTGTCCGTTCCACTTCTAAAGAGAAAGAGAAATCAGGTATGAAATTAAATTCTTGACACAAAGAAACATATAACTCATTAAACTAACATCACTTAGGTTACTTTGATTGTCTCAAGGTTGCAAGAATTCTTTCCTTTGAAATTTGAAGGGCATTGGTTTTTTCCAGCCTAAATGTTGGAACGTGTGTTGGAAAGTCCCAAAATGAAAAGCTGAAATGTGTCTCATTGTAATTCTGATGCCAGCCATAAAACAAAACATTATGTGTCTCCAATTTCTACATCCCTTTAGCTCCACAAAGACCCTTTCTTTCTCTTAACTCCAAGTAGTTCCTAAAGGAGAAGGCTGCTGAAAGTCAAATGCCACGTTGTGAAAGGATTTTTTTTTTTTTTTTGGCTACAAAGTGACAAAATACGATATAGCCAAACAAAACTATACTGAAGTGGCCAGTGAGGTCACTGACCTTTTGGTCAATGAGCAAAGGTGATAGTTCTAAACAACAATATCCCAGGCATATTGAAAGGAACTACACATCACCAGGAGAGGGAGACTTGTCCTTTGCTGGAAGTAGCCAAAAAAACATCTTCTGGAAACAAATGCAAACACCAGTACAAATAACAAAATAAAAGAACAAAAAACTCACAGATTATGATGGTACATAATTAAAATTCACAGAGGGAAAGAAAAGACAGTGCCCCCTGAAACACCAGCAGAGCACATTTTTGTAGTAAAAGTAGCAAGTTCTTGCTCCATTTTACTGAATTCAGAGTTGACAAAGGGATAATGATGGAATAATGAAAGCTATGGCATGAAGACCAGAAAAATAATCACCAGATGTCAATGTTAACACTCTTGGTGAGTGACTTCATCACTTCACCTGGGATTCCCTTAATCCCACAGTTCTCCATCTAGGTAAGTGAAAGGTGGTAAAAAGTATAGGAGTAGTGGTAAAAGTCAGAATTTGGAGAAGGTATATACAACTACAGAGATAAAGAAGACTGCAGGGTGGAAAGTAACTCAGTCATATACTAGGGAGAGGGGAGGAAGTGTAAGGGGAAAGCAAAGAGAAGAAGAGCTGAAAGTGGAAATGAGAGGAGAAAGAAGAGGGAGATCAAGAGGAAGGGAAGGAAGAAAGGAATATATTTTATCACCACCACCATCCTCCAAACACCAGGTACTATGATTTTAAGAATTGACTACTTTTTCCCAAAAGTCCAAGAAGAATGTAAACAGCCTCTTTGGTTCAAGTCTCAAGTATGACACTGTGTTCACCTCTGAGAACTGCTTCTGACAAATGACACCCTGTCTTTGGTTATGGTTGAGTCTCTACCTTTTGTGGAATGTTTGCCTGTTTGACATCCACCTACATGGCTTTCCTTTTTTTTTTTTTTTTTTAAAGATTTTATTTATTTGACAGAGAGAGACACAGCGAGAGAGGGAGCACAAGCAGGGGGAGTGGGAGAGGGAGAAGCAGGCTTCCCGCTGAGCAGGGAGCCCGATGCGGGGCTCAATCCCAGGACCCTGGGATCATGACCTGAGCTGAAGGCAGACGCTTAACGACTGAGCCACCCAGGCACCCCCACCTACATGGCTTTCTTCTTACCTATGTAATAACATCAGTTCTCTGTGACTGTTCCTGTTTTCAAGACTAGCTCACCTAATTTCTGCTAAGAACAATATTGGACTGATGTCCACAGCTGACCACACCAAGTGGACCTGCCCCTAACATATATAACTCCGAAATCCAGAATTCACCAGGAGGCAACCTCTTAAACAACCATCCCCTGAAGGAAACATTTTAAACCTTGACTATAAAGGCACCATCCTCCCCTTCTTACTGGTTCCCTAACAAAGAGCAAAAAATCAAAGCCCAAAATGGTATTTTGGAGGGTGAGGTACTTAAAGCTTAAAAAGCTTGGATGATTTGTCTAAACATCCCTACCTTAATGCAGGCATAGTAAAACTGCTGACAGGAAAACAACAGATATTATTGGGAGGGTGACCACTGGGGGCTCTCTTCTACAAGGGAAAGGTTAACCTGGCCCACCTGGCATCCTGCTTATAATTTAAAGAGTAACTTTAGCTGTAAGTCAAAACTTAGATATGCTAATTTATATATTTAATTGCCTTTAGTTTACATCATACACATTCAGATGATGATCATTTTTAAATTTCACATTTATACAGAGCACATCCAAGGATAGAATTCTATAGTTCTGCAGCTAATTTTACTCACTCCAAATCCAGAATTTTGACTCCTGTCCAGTGTCTCCATGTAACCACCCTCCCCAAGAACTGAGAATAACCCTTTCCCAAAGTGGCCAGAAGAGTAATTTCTGTGCTAGGAAAGTTTGGATGTTCTTCTGGGTATCTACATTGCTCTTGTCCCATGAGACTTTGTTAGAGCCAGGAAGTCCTCTTTTGGCTTCTAAATCATTATTAAATCTTTATCTTTGCTCTGTGCTTCCAGTAGGTATGGTCTTTCTGAACTGAATCTTTATAGATAAACTCTGGCATATTTTCTATCCCTTCACTAAGCTCTGCTAAATTCTGGCTTTGGTTCTGTATCCCTACAGTTTTTTGCCTTTAACCTAATTATGCTAGACCAAGAATGGACATTCTTCCATGTGCTAGGACAGTAGGTGAAGAGATAGAAACCCCTCTTGGCAATAAGACACATCCTGCAAGAAAAGGAAGCTGAAAACAAATCCTCCATAAACAACTCCCACTGAGAATTGTTCAGAGGTTCAGTGAATTAATGTCCAATATTTTGTAGGCATTGCAGGACCCTTCCAGCTGTGAGAGTACTGAAAGAAAAGTACCCACCAGGAGATTTAGGATCTACTAGGGTAAGCTCACTGCTACATAATCATTATCATTGAATTTGTGTGGTTCCATAAAGGAGGAAAGTGATACATGAGGATGTATAAATACAGTGAGCCAGCATATGTTTAAAGTGAAGTTCAAAGATCTTCCAGTTCAAGATTGCAAACTAAGTATGTCCTTCTACCTCCCTTCCCACTCAGGTCTCACTGAAATAACAGCAATGTTTTTAAAAATAATAAAAACATAACAGTGCTGGAAAACAAGAGTAGAATCTAGCAGAAGTTCATAAATTTTAAAAATTCCCATTGAAGCCCCACAGAAGGTCCAGATTCAGTCAATAAATACAAAGGCTAAAAATGTGATATAGATAGGGTGACAGTCCCAGTTTATGCTTATTGTCTTGGCAAAATAACTTTTCACTTTCAAAAGTGTCCTGGCTTGGAAGATAAATTGTGCATTCTAGTTTGGGAACATCACCAGAATAATTAAAGAAAAATTGAGCTAGGTGGGTCCCCCATATCCCCCTATTCTTGCTCATTAAAGAGATTAGGCAACATGCCTGGGGAGGAAACCAAGAGAGGGTGTCCAGATCTAAGAGAGAAGCAGCTCTGAACCACCACATTGGCTATGGGAGACTTAGGGCCTAGTAAACCCTGCCTTACAGATGCAGCTGTGGGATCTGCCAGACTATAAACTATAGACTGAATGTTTGTGGCCCCCCAAAATCTATGTTGGAACATTCCCAATGAGATGGTATTTGAGGGCTTTTGGGAGATGATTAGGTTATGAGGGTAGAGCTCTCATGAGTGGGATTAGTGCCCTTATAAAAGAGGCCTCAGAGAGTCCCTTGCCCCTTGCATCATGTCAAGACACAGGAAGAAGACAGCCATCTATGAACCAGGAAGCAGGCTTTCACCAGACACCAAAAGCACTGACTTCTTGATCTTGGGCTTCCCAATCTCCAAACCATAATAAATAAATTTGTTGTTCATAAGCCACCCAGTTTATGGTATTCTGCTATAGCAACCAGAAAAAGCTAAGACACACAGAAAAAGCTCCCTGTGAGCTGGCTACATCACCAGCTCCTCCAATTTAAAGGAGAGGGCTGGCCAGGGGAAAGACCTTTACAACTGCCCTCTTTTGTAAACACAAACCAACAACTGTCTAAGTCACCAGACATCTGAGGAAAATCAATAGTGCAAAAGAGAAGGATGCAAGAGGAAGAGATAATGCTGAAAATGGATGGGGAAAGGAGGTTTTTTATGCTAATTAGTACCTTGAAGATATTCAAGAAGACATGGCATCCATGAAGCAAGAACAAGCTGATAGGAACAAAGATAACAGAACAAGAAAGAGTTCCTCGAATTTAAAACTACTTAATGGAAAAACAGGTAGGATAGACTGAAAAATAAAATTGAAGAAAGTTCTTAAAATATATAGCAAAATAACAAAGAGGAGGAAGATGTGAAAAGAACACTTAGGAGAAGGGAATATAAACCATGGATAAGTAGAAATAATCAAATAAAGAGAAGAAAATTTCCCTGTACCAGAGTAAGACCTAACTCTTCAAAGTGAAAAAGCCACCAAGTGCCAATTAGAATGAATGAAAATGGACCCACAGAGCTCCACAAAATTTTGAGCTCCAAAGACAAAATATTTTAAAATTCCAGAAGAGGGAAAAAAAATGGTTAACCCTAGAGACCTGAGAATTGGACTAACATAAAATTTCTCACCAGCAAAAAAGGATGATAGAAGACATGGAAGTGATGCCTTCTAGTTTTAAGGAAAAATATGCTTGAGCTCAGAATTCTATACTCAGCCAAATAATCAATCAAGTGTGAAGGGGCAATAAGAACACTTTCAGACATGCGAGAGTGTTTACATACAAGATCATCTCCAAAACAATGACTCACGAATGTACAACAGGGAAATAGTTTAAATATTAAAAATAAAATGGAGTTAAAGAAGATATAGAAGGATGATAACCAACTATAGTCAACAATGAAAATAAAATTACCTGACTTAATCACCCACATACCTATTCTAAGTGGGCCACAAATTCTACAGAAAAAGGAAAGGCTTGTCTATTTCTATTTATTTCACAGCCTGAAGGGCAAAAATAAACCAGTTTCTCAGGAAAAGTACAATTATGTATTAGTTCTTGGCTCAAACAATAATTCCTCTAAGAAATCCTAATAAAGAAGTCATTGTTTGATACAAAGAACACAAAATGAGTTTTTAAGAGCTGTGTTTTGTAACAATTCTAGGGATATCATTCCAAACACAATTCAGAGGGACCAATGCTAGGGTCTTGTACTCAGTCTCTACTGAGCTGGTTAAATTCAGGAATGTATTTTAGGACATTTAGATGAATAAATAAACTGCATGCCCTTCCAAAAAAATCATCCTAATCATTATTTCTCTCAATTGCACTTGTGCTAAATGCCAAATGACTGAGTTTCAGATTGAAATTCCTGCAAAACACCTGAAGAACTGCTATGCTGTATTGCTGAGTACAAATTCTTGGGACAGAAAAAATAGTGTTAACATTCTTTTGTGACAGCTGAGGAGCCTAACAAAGACATTTACCTAAATAGGAAGCTATCCATCATTTCAGCAAGCAAGAAGAAGAGCCATTAGCAGAGGCAGAATTATCTTAGACACTTATTTTGAATCTGCTCCAGAATACAGAAAAATAGGTATGTAAAAAATAAGTAATTAAACCCACAAAGTCCTACTTCATATAGGATAATGGAAGTAGCCTTCACTTTCTCAAACTCATAAAGGCCAGTGTAATTTGATGCCTGCCTCAATCAAATAAAAGATCAATGAAGCACTCATAGAATGCTTATCTTTAAGCCATATGCTTCCTGTTACCTTATGCAAGGTAACTAAATAAGGATACCTCATTTATTTTATGAAGTGGTCATTTATAAATCAGTTAAATGTTAGGAAACATGTACTAAAAAGAGTAACCTTAGTTTCAGGATAAATGACCTGTAGTCTACCCCGTCACTCCCTGCAATAATTACCTGATCGGGCAGATGATAGGTTTCAGATAATAAAACCATATCCACTTCTG